TTTTTTTTTTTTTTAAGTGGATAAACAAGGGAACATAATAGCGTATTTATAGGCCTATACATTTACGCAAAGGTCTGATATACAGTACACACACACAGACAGACAGACAGGTGTTGTTTGAGCTGGTTTGGGGTCCGTAAGATTTTTTAAAAGTGTTTTTGACAGAAGCTTTTAAATAATTTTCATATTTTTTAAAACGTAATTTATTCTTGTGTTGTCAAAGCTGAATTTTCAGCAACCATTACTCCATTCTTCAGTGTCACATGATCCTTCAGAAATCATTCTAATATGCTGATTTCCCATTTAAGAAACATTTCTTTATTTCTCTTTTGAACGGTCTCTCCCGTTGTGTTGCTGACGCTTATGGGGAAACTCCTGTTTACTCTGATACTAAAGCCTGATTTGTTCACATTCAGCGAAATGCTACCCGTTTCCAAAACGTCAAGGTCCCTGCTCCAGAGTGATGTTGGACCCTGAGCCTCAGAAGCTGTCCTGATCCAAACGCAGAGAGGAAGAGGAGAGGGTCAATTCTCGCTGAGGCTGGAATTCCCTCGAAGAAGTCTCGCGCTCGCTCTCCATCACTCCACTTAACATTGAGCGCTGGAAGCCCCATTCAAGCTGGGCCCATCCTTCCCATTCAGTGCTCACCCAAGCAAACTACAGCTGTGATAGCGGACCCACATACTCAAAAGCGCTAGTCGCTGAGCAGTCAGGGCTTTTCAGAGGATGTCCTGGTCCGTTCTGACAACATCATGGTGGTAGACTTTATCAATCACCAAGGCGGTTTGTAGTCCTAAGCGGCTTGGGTCTCATTGTTGGCTCATGCTTACAGAAGCCCTCAGTATGAGTGCTCTGGGGCTGGGCTCGCAGAGCGGCTTTATTCTGCACTTGCTTATAGCATGGTGCTATTGGATGCGTTCCCCATAAGTGTCAGCGACGCAAAGGGAGAAACCGCTTGAAAGGGAATGTTCCGGTTATTAACGTAACCTCGGTTCCCAGAGATAAGGGAACGAGCGTTGCGTAGGCACGAATCGATGACTGTCGCTTCAGTCGAAAGATTCTGACGAAATGGTGCTCAGAGCCGACTTATTTAGTGGTCGGCTCCACCCCTTTTGGTGGGTTGAAGCGCCATTGGTTTGTGCAACTACACGAACGTGAACAAATCAGGCTTCAGTATCAGAGTAAACAGGAGTTACATTAGTAACCGGAGTGATTATCGAGCCTGGCAAGTTGTATGTTAATTGTAATTTTATACAATTTTTTTGGTATCTTGATATCATGTTTATTAACATGAATAGTTGTTTTACTGTTACTTAAAACTGTTTAATGTTTTACCTTTTTAATGGCCATTGTGACAACTAATCCCATATAGTGTGATAACATGTCCTGCTACTGGGTCAGCATTTTTATTTATTTATTTTTTTTGTAAGCAAGACCTAAAGTATGTGTCTATACAAAAATTCTAAAATATAAACCCACTCTGAAAAATATTCAAGTAAAAAGTATGACAATTATGCTGCGTTCCATTTACCGTGAAAATCGGATGTCAGAGCTGGGAATGATGTCACACCGAAGTGGACCGTGTTCCAGTAGAGAAGTCAGAAATCCAAGACGGACGCGGCCATTGTTAGCAATACCAGTCCATTAAAAACCCATAAAAAGCAGGATTTTGGCACAGATAACACCATAGTATAATGTCAGGTTGGATAGTACTTGGTGCACCACTGAGTTTATAGGGACACATTGTCATAAGTGTTAATAAACAATATATTACTGTTTCTCTTCTGTTGATGCACTGGGCAGCCATATTCGATTCTGAAGTTGGAGTTGTTGCGATACTGAGTCGGAACTCTGACTTGGGAGGGCGTTCCAGTTAAAAAAAAAAAAAGTTGCTGGGAACTTGGAATTTCCAACTTCCGAGTACAAATGGAACGCAGCATTAGCCCCGGTAACTCTATCATTTACTGGTTCAATTATTCTCTGGTACAAAGAGGCACAAGACATTCATGCAACTAAGCATCTTGAATTCAAATACAAATAAAACCATATTGCCACCTAGGTAGACCAGAGAGATGACAGTTAATTGTGCATGTATATTTTATATTTGTATATAATTTAATTTTGTATATAATTTCTAGAACTATGAATCCTTACTTCAAGAATTACAATAAAACTGCAGACCAAATCTATTTAGATACAACATTTTATTATTGTAAGTCTTAAATATGAACACACCATCTCCATTAAAGGAAAAACTAATTCTTTACAATACAAGGAGTTAAAATACTTCTCCAGGGAACCACCAGAGATCACTGGAACAAAATGAACTTCTCCAGGCTGGTTCTTTTAAAGGTTGGGTGGTGGGAGCCCAAAAATCTTTAGTCAGTTCTTCTCACCAAGTTGGACGTGTGAATTGAATTACAGCCATGAACAGACAAGCCTTGTGTTTCTGTTAATACGGTGCATTGATTGATCGCTCTCTCTTTGATCAGCCTTGATCCAAAACTTTTTCCACACAGACATTAATTATCAGGAGATGCTTTTTAACTTTGTGATTTTAAATTAAAGTACTGCCATAAACATGTGGATTTCTGACTGCCGTGACAGTTTTAGTCTCACGGATCTGCCTATTTATGAAATGTGTGAACTGTTATTAGTCTCATTGTGGTCCCTATATCTTCAAGAAAAAAACTAAAAGATAATGCCATAATGCTAAACAATACAACTTTGGGGCAAGAAAACACACTGCACATACATCACATTCCCTTTCATTAACATACAACTTGTGCTTAAAATCCACTGGACTAATGGTAGCTCTGATATGTGGTTTTAAAAACATTATATTTAAAGGGATTGTTCATTCAAAAATGAAAATTGCCATCATTTACTCACCCTCAAGTCATTTCAAAACCTGCATGCTTTTTTCTTTCTTTCATAAATCACAAATTATGTACTGGCGAATGTCTTAATAGTTATTTTACCTAAAGTGACAGATGCTGTTGAGCAACAAAAATGACAAGAAAACATCATAAAAGTGGTCAGTATGACTTGTGCACTACATTCCAAGTCATCCGAGGCCTGATAGTTTAGCAGAATAACTGAAATCTACAAGGAATACTTGTTTCTGTTCTCAGAATTTTGTGTTTTGTTTTGTTTATTCTTTGGAAAAGCATGCTGGTGAATAAATTATGACAGTTTTCATTTTTGGCAGAACTATTCCTTCAAATGAAAAAAAAAGGGAAACATTAGACATACATCCTGTCAAATGTTGCAACAAAACAGAACAAAACTGTAATATGAATTTAAGGGTCAAACAGCATCTTAATACTGCGATGGTAAGATTCAGAAACTGAACTTCTAATCAAATCTCACTTTTTTTCCAGAATACAGAGGATAACATGACATTTTCCTCATGATGAGATGATGATGGTCAAATGAGTCTCATCTGCTTTTTCCGAAATCACAATATTTAGACATCGGAGTTCACAATGAGTAACTGAAATGAGCTGGTATCTACCATAATACCATTTGAGAAATAAATTACACAGCTTCAGAAAAAGGGAATAAAAAAAAATAATAGAAAATGTTGCATTGTATTAAACAGGTTCACAATTTTAGTAAAAACAAGTGTGCATATTTTCCCTTTGTACAAGTTATATATATGCATATACATACAGAGATGTTAGCAGGACCGGCGATGAGAGTGTAACTCAAAATCTGGACAGAATTCAACAAAAAGCCATTTGGAAAAACTGTGGTAACAAAAATAAAAAATACAAATCAACAGATATTAGCAGATTGCTCTTTGGGCTTTTAAATGGGATCCAATATCTTTGCATTACACCCAGAACAAATCTCCAAATACAACTTTTTCCAACTTTGACTCATACATTGTACATTGTACATCAGTCCAACTGTGCCATTCTGGTCATCAAAATAATATCAAAATAAAAAATACTGATATGTACCGCATTGTTTTGTGTGTGTTAAATGGTAAAATACAGATTAGATGTACTCAAAAAAAAAACAAAAAAAAACTCTGATGTGAATATTACAGAGCTAAAACATGTTTGTGTATTTTGTGCTGCTTATTTTGATCAGCTTTACAGTTATGATACAGTAAAGTATATAACAACAATCCAAAAAAACCAAAAAAAACCCCGGAGACATATGCCCTTCCTTATCGCATGCCTTTGACTTGAAATAATTACTCCCCAATCACACTGTATTCTATATAAATTCTTAAGGGGTTACAGAGTTAAATTAAAATGAGAGTCACAAAAATAAATATTTAAAATTAAACATGCCTCTGTCATTTGCATTTTATGGATTCAAAAACTGTATTCAGTGGGGCAAAACAGGGCGATAATTAGCAATGCAAGACGAGTTACATTATTAAACTCTATTATAAACAAAAGAAATGCATGATTACTTTATTAAAAATAAGTACTTGGGTACCCCATGCACATTTTTGGGCATTTTCGGTAACCCATGCACGATTTGCAACTCCAGGATGAGTGATGTCACACAAACTGTGATTTTTATCCACTGAAAACATCTTCGGCATCAAAACTTGAGCAAGAGTTGTAGAAGTATGATGAGAAGTAGACAGGTGGGTGTGAAGACCGTTGACGTGCCGCTGTTGCCATCCTGAACTGCTCCGGGTCCTAAAGCATTGAAAAGATTCACATGTGTCAGGCAAAACAGCTCCGGTCTCCAACTGTGTGGTAAACTGCCTCGTTTTTATTCTTCAGACTGTCTGTAACATCGTATGAACTCTTATGTAGGGCGCTCACCTACACATCTGCACTTCTGATTTTATCTTACTTCCTCAATGTTATCTTTCATTCTTTTCGAGGGTGTCAGCTGTCAGCATTTACAGAGCTATTTTCTTTCTCTATTTTCTATTGTCTAAGTCTTGTTAAAATCTATGTTGGTATATTATAGCATCTCCTATTTGTTGATGAGTTTGTAGTGATTAGTAGTATTTAGTAGCTTGTGTATCACAAACCTTCCAACAAATCATTGTTTTCAAAGGCTGTTTGCTCTAAATCGGATGAAGTCATTTCTAAAACTGAAGCCGTCTCCACTAAAAGAGAGATTATATAACAAAACACTTCAGAACACAAGCAATATGAACTCAAAAAAAATCACAGTGTAACCTATAGTGCATCATTCCCGTTGGTGCTATTAGGCACATATTTGATGTCTAAATTAGATGTTTTTGCCTAAAAATATTCATCAAGTCAATCTAGAGTATTTCTGGCATGGTTCTGCTGCTCTGCTGTGGTAGCGGGTCATCTAACTGGGACGAAAGCGCTCCAGCTCGGCAAATTAACGTCTAAGCGAGGGTCTTTAGTGGTCACATTTGTATCTTAGGAGCATCTGTTCTTCTCATTTCAAACCAGCACATCCCGTCTCCCTATGCTATCACTATCATTACCCTACTGTACACTGCATCCTTGACCAGTCAACCGCCGAGGTCAGCTGTAATTGCAGTTGCTTATAAACAAGATAATCACTGAAGGTGCAGTTTAACCAGATTACTAAAGCGAGGTTTAGATCAGACGATTCACAAGCCACACAGACAACTGAGTGGTTGTCATAATTCATACTTTCTCATTTCCATTTTGTACTAAGTACGGCAGTCTGATAAAAACTATTGCACTTATATTAATCAGTAATAATACAAAAAGCAAAAATGATTATAACAAAATATTTCATCATATGTCATCAGGTAACAACTAACATGCTAATGTTCAGACATGTTCAATGTTGAAATACCATGTGTGTATATTTATATTTAAGGGTTGCACTGACAAGTCAACTGCTCATTTAGCTCTGCTAATGGGTTCTTTGATCCTGAGTCAACTAATCACAGATCACATGACTTCAGTTGCTTTTGTTCAATAGAACACAACAGCTGGGTTCCAGAAGTAGAAATCCCATTCATTTTCTCCATAGAGAAACTGATTTTTAACATATAATCATTTCAAGCCAGACCTACCATACACTCCAAGTAGTGAAATATGTATCTGTAAAGGCAACAAGTATGTGTGATTCCAGCTTCATTTAAAATAAATAAACAAAAATTGAAAAATGTTTCATGTTGGATATCCACATTCTCAATGAAAAACTATATTACTCACAATTACTCACAGATCCTCCTTGGATCTACCCTTCAGAGAACTATGGTTACCATGGAAATGAAATCCATGGCAAAAGAGTTCATTAACAACCACCCACTCCCATCAAGCATTGCGAATGGCGTAAAGACACTCTTTATTTATTTATATATTTAAAAAAATGTTGCAATACATGATTTAATCAATAATATAATTTTATACTTAAAACTATTGACTATTTCATTATAAATTGTACCATATATTTTAATTTAATTACATCTTCATGGGTTGCTTAGCTCATTGTCAAAAGATCAAAAATCAAAAGATTTGTTTTTTTTTTTTGGCTTGAATCATGTCATTACCAACTTTGATTTAATCTCAGAGCTGGTTGGTTTGATTCATATCATATGGGAAGAACACTTCCAGATTGTGTAAATTATGCATCATGTTCCATGATAATCCCACACACATTGCTCTGAACGCTGTCCAGAGGCTGACTATTGCATGCCTATACTGAAAAAAAAATGCTGTGCTGTACGAAGTGTAGACAACTTCACTGATTAAAATTGAAGCAGTCTATTTGGTTTCTACAGTGTAGACATGCTGTTAGCCATGATAGATTTGGATGGCTGATGGCTGAATGGCAAGTGGCGAGTCATTTAATGTACAACACAACAGACTAGTCTACTACTTTTTTGGCCAACTAGTCAATTAGTAAAAGTACAGTAGTCATGCAACCCCCAGTATATACATATACACAAACAGATGGAAAGTATTATATATAAAGTTTTATCTGAACAAATCTTTTTTTTCACTCTTGGTGGGAACAGACGTTTGATTTGCCTTTTTCGCTTCATGTTTGGTGTGAACGATCATTATTAGAGATATATTCAGTCCCAACGAAACAAATGTTATGTCATGGTATTAGCATTGGTGTCTATTAAATCTTTCTCTTTGATGGGCCTTTTAGACTGAAGTCTAATTTCCCCTGGATTTAGGAGAGTACGGTAGGCTTTCTTTAGGGACAGCTATCCAATTATTCTGCAGCCACAGCTTAGAGTAAATCCTGCACAAGTGTAATTATACTAATGTGAGGTTCTCACAATCAAATTCAATGCAATTAATGACTCTCCGGAGAGGACATGGTTACCAATCCCACAAATTTTTTTAGGCCAGACAGTGGAGAAAAGTTGACCGGGACAAGATTTCTATTCTTGGCAGAGAAGAAAGATAAAAGGACAATGCAAGGACAAATCAGTAACATCCAACAACAACATATTGAGGTGTGGGTCGACCCCTTACAAAAAAAGTAGGAAAGACCGGAGGCAATTATAACACATACATTTTCAATCACAAACAAGTTCGAGTGATGATATTTTTTCAGCATATGTTCAGTAAAGACTCTCTCTGCATGAAAAAAAGTGCACTGGTTTGTCAGAAAAATAAAACGATTTTGAGGTTTAAAGGAGAAAGTATTTAAAAAAAACAAAACTATTTATTTTATTGACAGATTGTAAGTTAAAAGTTAACATATGCTAATATGTTGCTTATTTTCCCAACGTTTTATCTCAACTCTGAGATAAAATAACCTTCGTTATGAAAACCTGTATGAGTAAATAGAAAACTAAAAATCTTTAAAATATGTAGTGAACATTACTTTTATATAGAAGGTTGTTCTTGAGTTAGCAGACAATCAGTATATTTTAGTAAAAATATTTCAAATACTGTAGGTCTCAGTTTGACCTTTGCTTTTAAACATATTATTCAACATAGCTAAAACAATGTACTATATAAAATGCAAAAATCAGTACCATAAAAATTATAAAATATTTTATTAAATATTAAATCAATGGCATTACTTTGAGTTAAGCAGCTATTTGAGATTTACTGGTTGAAGTGTGCACTGCAATTTTCTATACATCAATAGAATGTATATTAACTCCAATTTTAACCTGACTCCTTGTCTGTAATTCAATGTTTTTTCTCTATGTAAGTGCATTAATGGTAATATTACTGTTGGCACATTCACAGTTTTTATACCAAAAGACAGAAAAATTGCAGTAGTCTGAGAGTAAAATTTGAAAAGTTAAATTGACAGAGGTCTCTCCTACTGTGGCAGTACAATGATATATAGATTATATATATACTGTGGTACTGTGGTATGATTTATGTACACTCTCAGAAAAAAAGGTACAAAATTTGTCACTGGGGCATTGCCTATTCAAAAGGTACACCTTTGTAAAACTGTACCTAAAATTAACATATTTAAACCTTTTGAAAATGTACTGCCCCAGTGAGAGTTTTTGTGCCTTTTTCTCTGAGAGTGTACAATAGACCTTTGTGTATTACCATGGTTACTATGTCCAGGTAAGACCATGGCACTTTTTTGTAAGGGGCAAATGTACATTTAAAGTGTCAGCTCAGTCAAAAATGAAAAATCATTTGGGTCATGTCGACCCAAACCTGTATGACTTTGGAACGGAATAATACACTGGTCGTTCTTGTCCATGCTACTGTAATGAATGGGGATTGAAGCTTTTAGGCTTTAAAAAGAACCATAAAAGTATAGTAAAAGCAGTCCATTAAACTCATGTGTTATATTTCAAGTATTTTGAAGTGTTCTGAATCACATAAATTGATTGTTCGAAAATTTCCAACTCAAAAGAATGATTCTTTTATGAATCGGGCATCACTACTGCTCTCAAACTATTGTATAACTTCAGAAGTCTTGGACTACAGCGCATGAGTCATATGGACCACTTTTACTATACTTTAATGGTGCTTTTCTGTCCGTTTTGTCCAGACCCTGTTCATCGTAATTGTATTGGCTAGAAAAAAAGTATTTAAATTTTTTCCTGTTCCACGGAAGTATGAGTAAATGATGACAATTTTCCTTTAAGTACATTTCTCATCAGCTGAGTAATAATGAAGCACACAATTCAACAAACATCAAAAGACATCATAAGACGCAGACATGTACTTACAAACAGCGAATGAGAGCATGCATTGACAAAATGAAGCCATGCCATGGTGGAGGAAGGTTATAAAGGAAAGAAAGTGACAGAAGAGAAAGAGAAAGATGTTTAGGCTACAGAAAACAGAGACCCATTCATCAACCCACAGTGACTGAAGGCAGATTGAGGCATGTCAGTACCCCGCCAATCCCAGAGCGCCAATTCAGATTGTCACTCAATGTGCTGAATATATTATTGACATTACAAAATGGGATTTTAAGCTAATAACCCTCTTAATAGGAATAGCTAGTGGCCAATTTACAATTTGACAGTCACATTCTGTCAGACGAGGCACGTCAATTATATTACCCTGTTCAAATTTTGTGGGCCGCCCTCGCCGATAAACTTGGGTGCCGTATCAAGGACCTGGCCTTGTCATGTTGCAGTTGATGTGAAAATAATCATGTTTGCATCTTCTTTGCATATTAAACATGCTGGAACATGCTTTAGGAGGTGAGCGGGATGCCACATTCCCATGCACTCTACTAACCTTGCAATAGCGTCGAACTAGTGGGTTCGATTATTTCTACATCAACAAAAACAAACACAAAAATATCAATCAAAAGCAAATGAAGGAGAATCCTGAGATGAAAATCTCAAAGATTAATAGTTGAACGGGTCAGAAACTACCAAGGAAAAATTCATAGTGTTTACAGGAACATTATCAGGAAGTTCTTCTTTCGTTCAGCTTTTTTTGAACAAAAGTTTAAGTAAAAAAAATTCAAACTACTTCACCTAGTCGAAGAATTGTGAAGAGGCTCCAAACAGACTTGACTGAAACCAGCAACCACTGAAACATACCGTATAGGATGATGCTTGTGTTAGCGCTCCCCAGTTTGTTGATAGCGACGCAGGTGTAATTGCCATAGTCTGCCTCGGATACGTTGAAGAAAGTCAGCTTTGAAAATGCTCCGGCATCCTCGATCTCAATGCCATCAAAGTCACTGAAGATCCTGGGAAACAGTCAGCAAATGGGGAGACTTGAATCAGCCCGGCCTTGTTTACGGTACATCAGAGCTTCCTTTGAAGTTAGAGGTTACATTTATGACAGCATCAACATTTTCGGACACAGATTGCAGTGGGCTTGGATATAATAAAAGGAGGCAAAACTGCAGGATTGAATTACTGGCAGTGGCACGCAGAGGGACACGCGCATGCACTTATGCACATTAATTATGATACAACATTGTGACAACTTATTCTTCACTTGACATCAAAGACAGTTTGAAAGAATGTACTGAGACACATTCCAGCCAAAGGCACTCAAGTATTTAGCTGTTAAAAACAGTGAACGAATGACAGCACATCTAGTCAGATGTGTACAGCTACTGAAAAATGGTGCACGAACCGTACATTAAGGCTACGGTTTTATCCCAAAGAAAGGAAAAGGTGAGGCAGAATATCGCTTCATAATAGTATGCCATACCTCCTGTCATCTCTGTACCACTCAAAATCTGCCTCTGGTACAGCATCTGCCTCACACTGCAGGACACCTCTCTGCCCCAGGGTCACGCCAACATCTCTGCCATCTGAAACACTGGGAGGGTCTAAACACAGAAAACCACAAAAAAGATCTTTGTTAGGGACTGTTAGTTATTAGTGACCATCATATAATGCAACTGCAAACAACACACAAACAAATACAATTTGTACACATAAAGTGGGATCAAAAGTCTTAGACAACAATTGGTGATGATTTTATTTTGCATTTAAAGACTTTAAATTACAAACTATATTATCGTTTTATATTTATTTAAATAAAATCTTAACATTTTAGTTTATTTACATGTTTGAATGAATGAATAAACAAACAAACAAACAAACTTTGTACACAAAGTGGGGTTCAAATGTCTTAAACCACTAGTGATGGCTTTGTTTTGCATTTTAAGACATTTCGCTACACATAATATTATCAATTTCTATTTATTTATTTAAATAAAATTCAAAAGGTTTATGTTTATTTACAGGTTTAAATAAATAAATAAATACAAATAATTTGTAAACATAAAGTGGGGTTGAAGTCTTAAACCACTAGCAATTAGGGCTGGGCGATATGTCAAAAATATCTTATCGATAATCGCCTTTAAAAATATCACGATATCCGATAATATCATCTAAGCCCCACCTCCACCACGCCCCGCCCCTGCCGAGACAACATTGCTGACACGCACCATAAACACACGCCATGTTCAGTTTGGTCTTAATTATTGCCACAAAGTTTGGGTTTACTTTTCTTAGTTTGTTCTTAAACTAACAGAAAACAAGCTTTGCTGTTATTTTGGTGTTGCTAATAATTTCCACTCTGTTCTTATCAAATTTGTGTTTGAAATGAATTTCGTTTTGTGTGGAGAACTGTTGAGGAAAAATAATAGAACCCAATTTTAAGTT